GGGTGCCATGGCCTTCCCTGAGGCCTGGATTTGGAAGAAGGCAGGGCACGTGTATGACAGACTAGCCTGATAACGGCGGACAAGCAGATTGGCACAATGTTCTGACGCTTGTTCTGGCATCAAGTCCGGTTTGTGCTCGAAGTAAAGTACAATGGAGGTCCGGGAGTGACCACTGCGATCTGGCGCTTGCTGTTGCGGCGAGGAGGAGAAGGAGAGGAGGCAGGACCCAGCAAAAACATGCAAAACAGCCATCTTTCTCACCAAGACAAAAACACATGTCCAATTGCAGTTCAGTCGCAAAAATAGACATGTCCAAGTGCCACAAGGAACCCCTCTCCACTTTACTGGCTTAAATACCATGGCACACTGAAAGGGTCTTCCTCGATTGGACTTTCGCTGACAGATCGTCCACGTGTCCCGGCCTCCGCCAGCAAGACCGCGGCACAGCGGCGTGCCTGGCCGGTGTTTCGGACATGTCGAGTGACATGCCAAATCAGCTTGGAACCTGTGCTAAGCCAGGCTTGACACTTGGGGCGAAGCCTGGCAAGCGATGGTGGCCAATAGTGTCGGGTAGTGGTTGCAGCTATGGGGGTTCCTCCTGTGCTGGGAGGGTCTCTGGTTGTACTGCTGGATCTCTTGTCGACCATGCATTTATTCTCGTTCAACTATCTTAATCTAGAACTGGCCATGTGAAAAGGATGCATATGGTGGCGGCGGGTCAAACAAACATATCAAACCATTCTGTTAACAAAGCTCCCAGGGGGTTATATAATCTTTTGTAACCCAAATATGATGACCCATATGACAACAAAGGGGCGTGTCAAAAGAATCGGGATCACTGTCAATACCCGACTACACAGTTGCCAGTGGTTTCCGCAGGCTGCCGTCAATTTGTGAAGATTTGACACCAAATTAAAAACATAGCTTTGATACTCTAATTGCGGTACAAGGATCACTGAAATTTATATAGATTCCAAACTCCCAGAATGCCCAGGAACCTCCCAAATCACCTTCAACCACCTAAAGAAGAAAGGTCCAAAGAGATGGAAACTGGTCGATTCGAACACCTGCGCAGAATGCTCAGAAAAAACAAGTCTCAGGCAGATTTTGCAGAAATCTCAACCAATCAAAAACACTTGCTGCATCAAACAACTTTGGTTTATCTATTGTACTTTTTATCTGCTCATTTCTCTCATCTCTACTATTGAACCTACATTAAAACCAACTCTGAAAAACCAAACCTATCAATTTTAAAAGATGTTGTGGGGTGCACCAAATGTAGTTTTAATCTAACACGTTTACCTGTGTCAGGACGCGTTGAACAATCTTGGACTTCAGTAAGCAACTATATGAACCCCGCATGTAGGATGTAACCGGAACGAGGGGGGTCCGAGCTAGAGAGTGTGGTGCATTTACTACTTGAAGGACACCCACCGCTCACCTGTGTCCAATCCCTCAACACCATTTCTCTCCTGTTCTGTGGCTGGCAAAGATCGCACTCCAAGCACCGGTTTGCGCCCAACACAAAAACGCCGCCTCCACATCCAGCCCGGTGACACGCAACGCCAGGGCCAGGGCCAGGCCACCTGAAAGGTGGAACACGAGTGGCACAAAAGGACCGGTGAAAGCATTCCTACAACTTAAGAGACGTTGACATACTCATACGCTGTATCATACTTACACGCAGTTCTTCAAGCACATGTGTCTTGTAGAGCTTTGTGTCTTGTACACAAAACAATCAATGTCAAATATTATAGTATACAACTACAAAATGATACGGCATGATACCGATCCTGTCGGATTTATCGTTTGCCTGCTTGTTTATACTAGTACTTATGTATATTTATGTTTGGGTATTTATTGTGTGTGTGCTTTTGTCTGATTTAGCTGAAGACGTTGATAACGAGCCAGCTACAACAAGCGCTTTATAAACATTCGGCTATGTCCGCAGGCCACAGACTGGGGAGAACGTTTTGCTGGGTGGGGTGGGGCGGGGATAATGACATCCGTTGTGGATGCTTCGGCAACGACATTGCGAGGTTCAGGTGCGGAATGAGGAGGCAAGTGCTTCTGCATGCCATGTCAAGGCTTCAAAGAAGGTGCTGAGCGTTTCTTTTTTTTCTGGCATTCGCAGAATCGAAACATGTTAAGTTGTAATCACCAATATCAGTAACACCTTAAGCAATACAATGTTTGTTAGTCGGTTTTTTCTTGTATAGTTTCATTCTTGGGCCTGAACCAAAAAAAGTGAGGAAGTCAAATTGCCCGGGTCCCCAAAGACATGGTGAATGACCCGTTGTCAATTTACGGACTTGTCCCCAAAACGATGTGCCACGCAGGTCACAGGAATGATCCGAACAAGTGGTGTGATCTGTTTCGACAGAAACAGCGTCTCAACTGCGTCTCATTCTCCCTCGACCTTGCAGCTTGAGCCGCGGGACTCCACCCACGATGATCGCTGAAACATGTCCGAAGCAATCCTCCATATTCCGACACTTGGAATGGATCGAAGTACCGTGCAGCGAGGCGCGTCGTCGTTGCCAAGCGTTGTTTCATAAATCCTGGCGTCGGAAAATTGTGGACAGTGTCCTTGCTCCTTGAAGATCTGGAGGCGAAAACGCGTCACAGGCGGAGATGCACCGCTGGCCAATGATGAGTGCATATGCTGGCAACGAAATTCAATGACACCGAACCGGCAATCCAGACCAATCCATCAACCAGAAGGCGTTATATGGTGGGTCAGCTCTTCAGTGAGGAGTCATTCTCAATCGTGACAGGCCTCATGCTCAAGCCAACCGTTGGATCACGTCCGCCTGCTTCCAACAACCCTAGGCTCTGGCACGGTTCCCGTCCTTCAAGGTACAAATGCATTTCACGCAATCCACAAGCCGTTGAACATCAAGAAACGCCGGATCAAGCCAGATCAACTGTACTTCCCAGCTTGATCGAACATCTGGCCGCTGGCCTCCCTGCAGGGGCTGCAAGGGAAACTTAGGCAAGTAGCTCATGATTTCTACTACTACGCTACTCATTGAACTGCTTAAGAAGCCACTAGGTACTTTACGAGCTTGAGTGCAGTTGTTTATTTTTGTTAAATCATGCCAGAGTTGGTTTCGATATGTTTCGACAACAAAATTTATGGGTCTCCTCATTGCACCCTACAAGTGCTCACTTTGAGCAAACATCTTGCGAATCAGTTCAAACCCAGCGCAGTTTGTTATCGAATGAAAGACCCTGAGAGCCCGGATCGCTCCGGTGATTCTTGACCTCCGGGAGTGCTGGTCGTCCTTTTGTACAAAAAGGAACCCCTAGGCCCCTAAGTCTCAGGTAAGTTAAGTGATTCTCTGCATGGACGTCGCAAATTGGAAAAAGAAACTGGTCAAACATCCATTGAAGAACCAACACTACTGTGACGACTGTGCGGGTGGGAACGTGTTTATTGATGCTGACCTGACCTATCATTGATGCTCTTTCACAATGACAACCAAAAAATGATATGAACTTGAACAACAAAAACAGCCACAGCAACCATCAGGGACATGGACATGAACTTGATATGAACATCGGGGAACGTGCGCCCGTACTCCAAATCTGGCCGTTCGCCCGCGCCGAATCGACGATCTGTCGTCCAAACAAGGCAAAAGCGCCTGGATCGTCGGCCAGCAATCTCTGCAATGCCTGCGTGGACCGATGAAAAAGTTGAACACAAACTGTCACAGATTGGCAAACATCAATGATCAACAAGGATCTCAGCTGAAATTTACACCAACATCTATACACATGTCATGTAGAAAGCTTCATGAAGGGTTGGATCCATTTGCAGCTGCTCAACAGCACCTCCTGTAAGAAGTTTGTATCAATAAAAGTACGATTGTTTTGGTCGAGTGCCCTGGATCAACACTAGGATACCGTGGTTGACCGGTCCCGACGGGACGACTGCGCAGTCGTCACCACTTGCGCAGGACCCCGCCAGGCCCTTCACCCACCCGGGTGTGTGCCGAGTTGAGGCATGAATCCACTCTACATGCAAAGCTGTGACGCATGTGAAGTGCCCAGCACGCTGTGTGAAACCACAACCATCATCAAGCGCGGCGCACGAAGAAACACAACCATCAAAGCTTGCAAGAATTCATGAATTGGGACCTAATTTGGTGTTGCTGGGATAGGCACCGAGTCGAGATCTTGATTCTTAAGGAAAGCCTTACGTCGAATATTCCTGCGATGTAGGGCACATTGCTCGTAAGAAAGTGAAACCGCAGGAACAACGAATAATGTGACTTTGACAAATTTCATAGGAACAAGGCCATCTGGATGATAGGGTGGCTTACAATGCAAATCTTCAACTTGTCGGAGCGTTTGCTGAACTGCTCCTGAATTTGGTATCTCTAGTCGAAGACCAAAGCCACCTGTGTAAGTACGACCCCAGCCGGGAGGTCAACCTACATGGTGGACCAGGGCTCCAGATTTGGACCCATCCCCATATATATATATAATTGTACTGTAAACATATTGGATGCATACAGTAGACACCTTAGCAACTTCCTGTGCATCTGCCCATACCTACTGAATCTTACTGAATTCTGAGATCAACCCACGCTTGTCTGAACCCCATATATAGAACAAACATGAACAAACAACTTCCAGCAAGGCCCATGAACCCTCACGTATCATGACTCATCCGTCACCTTTTCGTCCGGCAGACGGCTCACGATCGCTCACGCACCAGCCCAACTGGCTGTCTGCGGTCTACGCGCCGCGAGCGATGCAAAACAGTGTGCAACTCGGGTGGCGATGCAGTAGCTCTGATATGTGTGCACATGTTGTTCCAATGTGATTTTCTGGGTGGTGATGAGTCATGCAATGGGATGTAACTTCAATTGATATGCATTTGTTAGTACAATGGATATGACATATTCTTATATAGTCTACCTAAGCCTGGTTCTGATTCTCGTGAAACATCCTCTCTATCTAAGTGTTCACCTATTCCAGGTGCTTCTTCAGTTGCTACCAGCTGAGAAGATGCTCTCTACTGCTTCGGACCAAACAAACTTCAGGCAGCTTTGAGACGCTTTTGAGATGAATGTAACACTGTTAATCTGACCAACATTACACTCTCCGCAACAACACTCAACAACCATAAAGTGGAACATGGTACTATGTTTCAAGAGGGCCTTCATGCCGCATGTATGCCGCATCTTTCCTTCAGTCACATATAATTCTGAAATATTATGAAGTTGCTTTAGCCTCAGGGAAGGCCTTTTTCCAAGGCCGCGATCGCCGCGGCCACCTGGCCAAGGGAGGGCAAGGTCCCCGCAGCCGGCAGGCTCCGGCCGCCGCGGCCCGAAGCAGTTGTCACCGTTGTCAACAGCAACTCTAAGGATGTAAGTGATGAACCATGATTAACCAAAGGTGGCAAATGTTGAACGGAAAGCACAGGAAGGCACCACTTGAGAGGGGGGAGACACGAAAGGTAGGACAGCGGGAAGAGAAGAGAACGCGAGAGGCAGGAACAAAAATGCAATGTTCGACGTGGTGATTTATCCCCTCGGAGGCGACCTTTCGTAAATATATGTTCATATGCACTCTAAATGTTCAAACATATGCTCTCGAAGTGTTCAAAAAGATTCTTAGGAAAACAAACTTGCCCCATGGCTCAGATCATCGGTGAGCATTGAATCGGAGCATCATAGGATTTGAACTATCCTGAAACCATAAGAGGCTCACGAAGACGTTCCCCCGGAGAGAATTGACGCGCTTCACAAAACAAACTCTAGGTATGTATCCCCTCGGGGAACACCTTTCGTGATTAGAATTTCATATGCACTCTTTCTGAATGTTCAAGAGGGTTTCAACTATCCTGAAATCATGAGAGGCCCACGAACACGTTCTCCAGGAGAGAATTGAATTTAGAGGAATCAAAGGAGGGGGGGGGTTGAATTGAATGATCAATTATTAGACCCGGACGCGCCAACACTTGCTTCGCAAGACAAACTCAAGGTATCCCCTAAAGGGCTACCTTTCGTGACATATTCTTGGTTGAACTAGACTCGCGGCATTTTTTCGTCGATGCACAAAGCACAGCTTTCGGAACGTGCGTGCTTTCGGTACTTGCCATCGGGGAGGACGGAACACGAACGAACATCATATGATGACTTTTGCCTGAGGAACCTTCACAAATGCAGCATACCCTTCCGAGCACAGAGGCTGGGACAAATGATGACAAATGCTGACACTTCCTTAGATTTGTCAGCTTATAGGGTGATGTTTGAGTTTAGGGCAGTGTATCCCCTGCTTTCGTCTTCTAAAAGCCTGGTTCGGGTAGACAACAACCTTTATCTTCCTGCCTGGTGTGGTGCGAACGAACTGAGTGTCACTTCCGGCGCGTACTTACTCCCACTGCGTCTTGACAACACATTTCCTCACATCCGGAATCCGGTCTTCTATCCCCAAAGCACCCAAGGAAACCACCAAAAAGCCAGCCAACCAGTGTTGCATGCGTTTAAGTATGTACAGTGCATTGTAATGACTAAACAGTCATGTCCTTTCCACTTCCAAGACCCACGCTCTAAGGCCTAGAAGTATCTCTAATGGTCTAAGGTACCCGGAACACTAAAAAAAATAAAACAAAAAAAACACATTAAAACATTTTGATTTGCATATAAACGCAAAATAAGTATAAATAAATAACACATCATGTAATTCGTGGATCTGCGTAGTTCCATCCAATTGCAGGTGTTCATCGGTCCATTGTCTCCCCTTCATTCAAGCCAACCACCTGCTGGATTCGCCCAAAACGCGGCCAACACGGCCTGCTTGCTCCCCGCATCCTCTGAGGTTTTCAACGCCACCGCTGACCAATCCAAGGAGCCTCCCGACCAAGCGACCCAAGCCGTTTGTACCAAGAAACAGCTTTCCCTAAACCTCCAGAGACCTTCTGAGCAGGTGTTTGGGGTGGGTGCCAGTAGGGTTCAAAGACCTCCTGAGGAAGTGCTTGGAGCCCTAGGGTTTGGATATTTTGGGGGGATCCATCTAGCAAAGGGTTGGGGAACTCCATGATACTCCATGTAGCTCCCTGGCTCCCTGATTCGTAGGGAATATGGATACTTCCGGCTACAAATTGGGAACCCTCCTGGGCAACAGCTAGAAAATGGGAACAACCCTCCCGTGTGAGTTGCTCGAGAACCAAGCTGCAATGCGAATTCGGCACCTGGGGAGCCATGTATCAGTTTTGAATACATGTGTACACATTCCGAGTATACATAAATCATCATAAATCATCATAAATCAACCAACTGAGCATTCAGATCCCAAAAAGGCCCCTGCAGATCCACCTCTTTGATTCGTTTGATTCACCATGTTCCAACGGATTCACTCAAACAGTCCGGACGGGTTTGGACGCCTGGGTTGCCTGGGTCGGCAGGCGACCCTCGTTTTCTGGGGCGGGGGTCGTCAAGACCCGTCGCGACGGGTGACACATGCATTGACATCGCATGACAGCTAACTGGTAATGCCAGGAGCTACTAGTAGCTTCTTGTTACTAGCAGCAATGGCCTCCAACCTAGTAGCTTCTTGCTGCTAGTAATGCCAGGAGTTACACTGTTGATTCAACATGATTCAACAACCTTTTAAAGTGGTCTGTCAGAACTTGGTTCCTTCACCACAGGGACTACTCAGCTCAGTGAACAGACTTCAGATGTGTGGACATCTCACACATTACACTTGTTATCGTTCCAAAAGATCTTCTCACCAAATAAGGAATCGCAGCATGACTCCTGAAAGAACCTACTCTGGGCATTCTTCTGTGTCTGAAAAAAAGGGACGATGTCTGTGTTTTAATGTCACAAAGACATCGGTGGTATCGGTCCATGTCAAAACAATAATGTAGACAATGTAGACTGTTGGTTCATCAACCCCCACTACCGGAATCATAATGGTTTCTCCTCTCCATATGGATGGTTTTATTCATCAACAGTCTATATCATCTTCTGTGAAAGCAATGCTTGGCTACCATCTTTGGACTTAGTCGATCAAACAGCGGTGCACAGAATCTGGGTGTGGAGATCCGGACCAGGTAGGTGGGCTAGTTAGTGCCAGAACACCGACGGATGGCCCGGTCTATATCAAAGAAACAAGGTTAGGGTCTAGTAGTTTCATGCAAGAGTGAAACCATGTGAACAAAGAGTCCCAACCAAGAAACAAACAAAAATACTAACGTACTAGGAGCAAAGGGCATCGCTACTAGGAGCAAGGACGCTACTAGGGGCTCCTGGCCTTATTACTAGGAACAAGAAGCTAGTAGAAACAAGAAGCTAGTAGAAACCCTTCCCAAGCGCACGAATCGCACCGTGTACCGAGCACCCGGCCGCGCCTCGCCCGGCGTTCTGGGAGGCGACGAAGCGATCGCGCAGCAAGGAGGCGATGGGCATGGGGCACTTCGCCTCGAGTGGAGTGACCCTTTTGGGAGTGGAGTGGCGCATCCGGCGAGTGCCACAAAGCATTTTAAGTGGAATGGGTTAAATCTCCATGAAAGTAGATTACAGTAGAGATAAGTAGGAACAAGTGCCACGCTAGTAGTAACAGGTGCCTTACTAGTAGTAACAAGAAGCTAGTAGGTTTAAGTATACAGTACTGATTGCACAACGATATGGGCATCTACAGTCTCCATTTGCAAGTGTGCCCGAGTGTACAGTTCTAATATGGCTGATTCATGGATCATCATGACTCATGACCCCCAAAGAGTGTGTTCTATCCTTGCCCAACATGAGATTCCTTATCAAACAGTTGAAGGCAATTCGTTAGGCTCGACCCTTCCAAAAAGAGCCATTTAAACATATGATGAATCAATCATCTATATATTTTGGCATATTGCTTACAGCCTGAACCGCCTGGACCCTTCAAAGAAGGGACTTGATTTGGACACGAACCTCGGGTAAGGTCGCAAGTTGGCAAAACCTCAACAAAAAACAATTTGAGCATTTGAGCATATCGTTGCTCAGAACACCATACCAACAAAAGGACATCATGCCCTGGAGACACTCTGCCTAAAACATCCTAAAACATGTGGCCCCACGGGCTCCAACCCCCGCAAGAAACATCTGCCTGCGTGGCTGCAGTGTGGACCAAGGCCACATCCTCGCTCGCACGCAGCTCGGTACTCAGCTCAGCTCTGGGCTCTGCCGCGCCAAAACGTGTTGGGTTGGAATGTGAGTCCAGTAGAGTCCAGTTCTCAGCAACCCAAGCCCCGTTGAGGCCCGTTGAGTCAATCCAAGCCCCCGTTGAGTCCAGTTCTGGTACTTTTACATCTCGCGGCTTGGCTGCAAAAAGGTCACGGCCAATTTTTGGCACCTTTGACCAAGATGGTGAGGTTTATGATCTCTGAGAATCAGGTCACTGATCCATGAGTTCATTTGAAGTGATCACTTAGTTACAAGTCCTTTACAGAAAGCACTCTGACAGAAACTGTTGGATGATTATTTGTTGGCACCGCCTTAGTAACATGCTCGGTCTGTGTAGCTTGGGTACAGTGGATCCTTCAACTGGGGAGTCCGGGAGTCCCACATGGTACGAAGTTGGGATTCCTGCGGCGGGATGCGGCGTGAACACCCAAATTGAAGCTGCTGGCATGTGATGGCATGTCGATTATAGCATGTGGAGAAGTGCAAGGTTCTTTCCCGAAACTTGTGCACCGAGGCCATCAACAGGCCTTAGTCAACCCTCGGCCCAAATCTCTGTCCAAAATGAAACTTGGCCAGGTTCCTGCCTCCATGTGCAAATACTTTGTAGGGCCACCACCCCCGTGGACTTCCGCCACTCACAGCCAGTACCCTCCACCCCCTGTGGCCTTGCTCCCGAGGTCTAGTGCAAAATGCGCCTCAGGTGTCACTACATGCAAAATGTCGGACTAGCTATGCGAATGTGTCGCCTGTTACATTGACTAACCGCGTCTTCGATTCTGAACCCAAATAGCATGCAAATCGAGACTGAATTGGGTTCTTTTGGGACTATTGCTGGGTTTAGGGGAGAACCTTATCAAATATGAGTCTGTTTGTACTAGGTGAACAATATAAACATAACAACATAAGACATAATTAAGGCGACCAACTCTGGATCAACAAACACTGGTTCAGGATACAGCTTTTCCAAACAGTTGATGCCTGACCAATGCAGATTTATCTACCTGCGTCAGGCTTCTTTGTCAATGACGACTAGAAGGGTGGGTATGGTCTGTATGCAAAGGCATGAGTAAAAAATATACCAAACGGAAACACAATAGGCCCCTGTGCTCATGGCGGCAAACCGGAAGAGAGCCAAACCAAGGAGGCCGTGGAGGGCCCCACGATGGCCCCGGCGATCACAGTACCAACACAAAGGAACTGGCAAAAGGCCTGGTCGCAGTGCTGCTGAACTCATGCTCCCCGTCACACTCAACAACATCCCCTTCGAGCACCCAAACTGGGAGTCGTTCGGCAGAAATGTTGCAATGCTAGATGTTGCAATGCTGCAGTATAGGCAAAATTCATTGAGAAAACAACGTTGGTGTCCAAGCTAGTTTGGATCACTGCGTTGCAAAGCCGAAAGTACCATTTAATTGCCTTCTGTTTTGGCAACGTTGGTCATTTCTTGCCATCATAGCTTTCTCACCACCTTTTCTATGGGCTATGTCTTTTTCAGTGTCTTGACTTTTGTCGGCAGGAGTTTGTGAAATTATTGCTGCCACCCCATTTTTGCACAGAGCCCCGTTGAAGCCAAAATGTACCACACCAGCCATGATAGCTTCGTTGGGGAAGTAAGCATTTTGAGCCTATCAACATGCTTCAATTTGCGCCTTGCCCATGCTTCTGCTTGCTCTCCGATAGAATGCAGCTGGATCGGGTGGAATAATGTGATGGCGCAGTCGCTTGATCGCCAACTTTGCAAGGTTGACTTTTGCAATCAGCGCAAAACACTGCTCCTTTTGCAGAATTCCCCTGGCCTGCTAAAATCATGCAATTTTTAAGTTGACTTGCATGTTAAACCCATCACATTATTTTACATTCAGTTAATTTAAGTGTCGGGCAACACTCCTTCTGCCCTCTAGATAACAGGAGTCAAGTTTATGTCAGAATTCAGCCCCCCTGAATTATACGGCTATGCCAAACACTCCATGTTTAAGAGACAAGTTTACCTACAATGACCCCAAAAACGGATCAATGTTGGCAAATATATCTCTTCCCTCCACTCCTCAGCTTTGATCCCTTCGCTCGGGGTCGTCCGGGTCTCCAGCGTCTGGGTAGGGATGATGATCTCGGGCGGCCACACGGTGGCCTGCGGTGTGCAAGTTGCACCATCTAAATCAAGGGTTTGCGGTGCACAGTTGCTGACAACCTAGTTTGTTGAGTTACTGTACATTTATCTATATCGTCTATATATATTGTAACTGTAACATTGGAATACATGAGGATTGTTTGTTAGTTGGCAATGCTTGTGTGTTTCTCTACTCCAGGCTCACTGTAAGGTACAGTGCTGAAAGTTTGTGGACTGTGAGTAGGAACAGCAACACTTTTGGTGTGTGTATGTGTATGTATGTATGTATGCATGCATGCACGTATGTATGTATGTATGTGAGCGACGGTCAAATTTTGTTGAGGAGTTGCAGGTCATCAGGATTTGGTGAGTGTATTATCGTTGTTCACAACCGTCACGTTATCGTTTTTGGTGAGTGTGTTATCGTTTTTGAGCAAAACATGCATTTTGAACTCCCATGACCACTCACTGACTATTCGTGACTTTCTCTAATTTTGAGCCTAGCTCATGTATGTATGGATTTATGGATGTGTGGATGGATGGATGGATGGATGGATGGATGGATGGATGGATGGATGGATCATGATATGTCTTCAATATGTGTATATATACAGTATATATATATGTATATTATAGTTATATGTGTACGTGTATACTTGAAATGAGGGGACCCCAGCCATGATGAACTACTCCCAGTTTGTTTAAACCAGCTGTACCAGGAGGTCCATACCGCTGGGCAACGTGAAACGGCATTGGAACCACACGCAAGGGCGGCACCGTAGCCACGGTAGATCAGGCAATCGAAGATGGTGGAGGACCTCACGGATTGATCATCATTCCGCATCTTCTATACCCAAGTCAATGATGATACAGGTTCAGCAAAGATACGATCATATCGCATACGTACCGTACTACCATACAGCCTAGGTTGATTTCTTGGACTGTATCCTTGCCTGCAAAATCTTGCAAGATTTCATGTTGAAAAACACAGAAAGAAAGAATCAAGTCCAATTTGTCTTCACTGGACATGGGAAACATGTGTTCACAAAATAATCGATAAATCCTATGCCCAAGGTCAAGTCCAAGCGTGTTCTGAGGACCTCCGAATATCCGTTCTCAACAAAACTCAACTATAGTTGATTTCGTCCTCGGGGTCTTCTCCTCTTCCGGAAACCGGAGGTCCACACGAAGAGTCATCGGGGCACATGTGTAACAATGTTCAACTGATCATCTGATCATCGTTTGAAAATGGCCAAGAAACCTCAAACCATCGACCTGGTTGGACGTCCTGAAATGTCCTTCAGTTGAGGAAACAAAGGCTTTGTGGACCAACTGCTTCTTTCAAATGCATATGTCGCAAGTCCAAGTTTAACAGTCAAACAATATCAAACAAATTGCAGCCTTCAACACCCTCAAAGCCAGGACACATTCTCCATTGACCCTGAAACCACCCCAATGCAGGTGCATGGTATATGCCATATGTGCAGGAAGTGATGAGGTGTCATGACTAAAACCACAAAACATCACAAAAAGTCACCTCCATTTTTCTGACTCAAAAAAAGGTTCGACACACTGGAATCCACAAGTATTTGTTGTCGTCCATTTGTTGAGTCGGCCCCAAACCTGGAGGTGGGGGTACACTCACGGCAAGCTTCCAACCCCTTCTCAGCCGTGATGCATCAGGGACACAAACTTCTCCCTGTCCACCTGCACACGACGGCGACGTTTGCGCGGGGCGGGTTGGCGCGGATGTCGGCATCGGTGGCTCGAAGGAGTGGATCCATGGAGTTCGTGCTTCGTTTCTTTCCATGGGAAAGTCACCAGCTTCGTGTGAAGAAGTCCATCCAACTTCTAGAGAATCCACCGTGGTGTAGGCGAAACATCAACCGAAAAGTTGGTGGACGGTCTCAGAACGGGGGGGGACCCCAGATGTTTGGGAATTGAAAACAGAGAAAGCCACGAACATCCAAAAGCAACATGAGGCTTTAAAGAACTTCTGGGTAGATTGATAGCCATGGATATCCATTATGTTCGCAGCTACATACTCACGCTGCCTGCCCGACCTACCCCACCTGCCTCGTAGCTCTCGGCTAATGCTGAAGCCTGACGTTGTCCCCGTTGGATCCAACGGGTTTTTGGCTCAAAAACGAATCACTCGTCCAGCGCATCCAACGCAAGCACAACGGGTTTGGGGAGGAACTCAACATCAGGATACCAGCTAATGCTTGTTAAACAAAAAGCCAGGGAGCATAATCCTTGTCGAAGGGTTTTGGGTGGAAAACTTGAAAGCAGCAAACATGCATAGAATCTAGTCTGCCTACATCTGCCTACCCCATTGCCCTCCAAGTGTCGGCTGAAAATTCATGCAGAATCGGGTGAAAACACACCAAAGCTAGCTTCAACTTATGGTGGAACATGACATCTATATAAAATGGATTGCTGGAGCGCGTGCTCACCCTTGATGCTGTGTTTATGTGTGGATGCTGGCTTGTGCTATTTTTGCCAGTACTTGTGAAGGCTGTTTCAGGCAGTTCTAGATGAATGTCATGTGTGGGGAGCTGCATACCAAGCGCTTTGCCCTCTTGAATTCCAACAGGCAAAAGGAGTGAGTAAGTATTACGTTCGATTATTTGCATCAAAGCCCACACCAAGACAACCCAAGAGAGGTTCATCATGTCTGGGCCTATTCCCAACGGTTGTGCAAATGGCTACTTTGTTTGGACGACAAGACCAAGAAATGTTCTTTGAGATGTCCACTCACAAATCACATGTAAGATAAATTGGTTCTACTCTCCCAGGATGTGTCAAACACTCAAAATGCCAAAAACAAACCCACACAAATCAACATCAGGACCCAAAGGCCTCCCCAATCTCACCTCACCCTTGTTTGGGAAGCACTAGCCAGCTGTATGACACCTTTGGCTTCAGCAGCATTAATGCACAAGACAATTTATTTAAAAAAAAAAAAAACAACAACAAAACTCATTCTCAAACGGCTGTATGACACCTTCTTCTGGCCCCCTGGTAGCTGGATACCCGGTTGTTACTCGGTTCGCCCGCGTTACTCTTCCGGGCCTCGGAGAGCGACTGGATGGCGGCAGCGATGAGGAAGTTGCCGCCCAGCTTCACCTGAGGGCGGCAAAGTGGCACGTGCGTCGCATGAGAGCAGCAGCACGAGCGAATTACGAATTACGTGAAAAACATGTTTGTAATCCAATTGAAGCAAGGAACGATCTTAAAACTTAAGGCCATCAATTTTGAAATAACACATGTAGAATAGTAGTCAGTAGTCACTGTCACCTCATTGCGCTGCTGTTCTCCAACATGCTTGTTGGTGCTGTCGTTTCACCGACCGATCTGGGACGCCAAGAAACTACGTTGGCCCCGCCGCAGTCCTCGCCGAAGTCGTGCACGCCTCGGAGATCGGTCCAAGGGGTCGCAGGGGTCGCAAAAGGGCCGAAGCCGAAGCCATGTGGATGACCATGTTCCAAAGGAGTTCACTCGCTGAATACCGTATCAACCACATTCAACCATGCTGAAGGGTGGGGCTCGGGGACGATTCAATCATCTTGCAAGTCGAATGGTGTCGTGCTGTGCAAATTCAAGGTACTGTCGGACGTCCATCGGTCGTGCTGAGCCTTTACAAACATCTACTGCAATGAATTCATCTCAAGAATCGTCACCAATGCAGGTCAGTACCTCTTTGTTGAAGCAAACATGGACAACCTGAGTACTGTAGTCATCATCTTGAGAAAAAAAAATAAACCTGCACTATAGGACGACTTCACGCAAAGTGTGATGACTACTGCCAAACCATCGGGTGTTCAAAATAATCTTTCAGGTCTGGAGTCTGGCCTGTTCAAAAAGGCGCGTGCGCGTGTGGGTGTGTGTGTGTGTGTCAACACCAAAATGGTGTTTGCCCCAGGAAGTCAACATGCTGCTATTCTAGAGGTGCGTGACGCACAGGAGCAAAGTAGATGTTCAGCATCCAATATGTACTTAGATGGAGTTAAATGTAGTATCTTGATTGACATGCTACATGTTGTTGATTGAAGTATTTGGATACCATTTTGAAGAATGTGTAGTACATGGGTGAGGTAGCTGATGTGTCACTCCCAAACCTCTCCCACTTAGCTGAGCCACCCAGTGCGGTCTTCTGCAGCAGCGGTATCTGCGATTGAGCGTGTGTGTTGGATGGACAGTCCGTTCTTCAGCACCAGGTGTCAGCCATAGGAAGGAACGCCCTGAATGTTGTTTGCCATTGGGCACAGAAAGAAGAATGTCATACCCAAAAGAGCAGCAATTCGTGCATGTCCATCAAAGCAGTGCTTACCACCGGCATTGCAGAAGAGAACATTGCTAACCAAGCCCACTAAAGTTGCGTAGCACATCCCTATTTCGACCTATATAATCCCGAGTACCTAATAAAAAACGGACCCCTATTTAAACAGTCATGTCGGAAACCCCTAAATACATCTAAATACGGTTTATATTTGGTTTTAAATTGCCGCCCTTTCAAGCCGCTACTAAACTACCAACATGGCCGATTTTGGAGGAGTGTTTGTTATTTAGTTCCAAAAGCAACCGTAACTGCCCACCTCTGTCAACCGTCTATCCCAATGGCACGGACTCACACAAACGCGAAAGCTTTATACAGTTGTTAGTCTAATGAAGAATCACTATTCTAATAAAAGCTTTTGTAGGGGAAAAGGAATACCCTTCGATCTGGAGGTCATTTTTTAATTTTTGATACGAGTTTAATAAATGAATTATAAAATATATTAAAATATTCTTATAAACATTTTCCTGGGTGACTTTTTGGTTTTGAAGCCCTTCCCAGGTGACCCTATTTTGGACCACCCTGATTTCAGGGACCCCCTATTAAAAAAAGGCGACCAATGTTTCCTTATTGGGGGGGGGCCGCGTGTTTTTAAATAGGTGGACCGGATTATTGATCACACACCCAGAATGGATCTTCTCACCCTTGGCCAACTAGCCCTTCCTGAGCTCATGACCACCTGTTCTTTCGCCCAGGCAGGACCACTGACCTCGGTCACATCTGAGGTCCAAGGGGTGAAAAACACCTCTCTCCATGCAGTTGATGCACCTGAAAAGGTCATCTTTCGGCATGCGGACAGCAGCATGTCGTCGGCGGCAAGCATGTTAACGGTTTTCAGATGTTAACAGTTTTAGCTGGCGTAAGGATTCTCCAGTCTTCCACTTTTAGGAAGCCCGTTCAAAGAATCCAGCTCCTAAGATCCAAATATGCCATCTAATTTACTCTCCCCCCAAGAGAAACGTGCCAACAAACGCCATGTGACGGTTTCTTCGAAAAACCATTTTTCCAAGAGGCCCAAGACAAGGTGGCCATTGCCACTCAGTCAGTTTGGCCATAAGGGTCTTCTGATCGGAGACTGACCCTCCTCTGGGCCTTCCGGACTGGGAAGGTCGCTTCACCTCTTCTCATGCCATCAGGTCCTGAGAGTGCGAGAGTGCTCATTTCTTTCCCAAATCTGTCGGTTGTATCCGAGATCGAAGCCCGAGATCGTCCAAAGCTGCCCAGTCTTTGGAATACCGATGAAGTGACAGCTGGATATGGAAAGTCTTAAAAAGAACTGGGTGATCTTCAACCCAAAGTTTCGGTGTGACCTTGCCAGGCGAAACCTACGGAACGTGGCTTTGCATCTTCCTGAGACCCCTTAAAGACGATCCCATGGATCCTGAGAACTGGTTGGTAGAAGAAAACCATCGGACCCAGCGAGTCCGATGACGTCAGGGTATACCAGCCCAGCGCTACTATAGCTTAGTGATGCTAAGTGCGTACCTCCTCCGGTAACAAGAAGCTACCAGTAACAAGGGATCAATGGTGGAGCCCAAGGACCCCGAGAACGTCGTCACGCCGAGGCAAAAAACACCGAGGAATCCTGTGGATGGAGCATGGGGAGCACACTAGACATGTTCCCTCAAAACGCTTTGGGCTGGTCCTCCCCCTAAAGACAATGGACCATGGTTCAAATGATGCTTGAATATCAACAAGCAGCTTACCCTGAGAGGCTCATATCATATAAATCACATGAAAAAGAGTAATATGAGCAAAAACACTCAAAAACACGCAAACACACATGTGCCAACTGAGATCATGCAAACCGCGGCCACTTCCTTCCTGAGCTGGACCGATATCTGTAGACAATTGCCTGAGTATATAGAGCAAATACGGGTTTCCCTTGTGGACAAATGTCCGGCAATCTTGGTACCCCTGGCGTGCGAAGACCGGCGCAGAGACGAAACCCACCTTGCGCGCAGCGTGCTCCTGCAGCACGGATTAGAGGGCGTGTTTTAGAGGGCGTTTTGCGCACCGATTCAAAACAAGAATACGTGACACTATAGGGTGAACGTTCCCAACATGACAATTCCAAGAATCCTGCAGCACTTCAGCTAGCCTAGACGAACCCTGGTAATTCTATGGCACGTGTCTTGCATAGGTTTCAGCATCTCTTTTTTTAAACTTGGTGGTTGTTCTTTGTTCCTCGTCTGAGTCTGGGATCCTCACACATCCGTCAACTTTGCGGTCAAGAATGACTTTTAAAAAGACATCAACATATATATATATATAGTGTTTTTTTGTACTTCTATGGACTCAAATGAAAGTGCATCAGGAAAAAACTAGAATATCAATCTCAAGGCCGACGAGCTCCACAGCGAAGATAACACGAGGTTCTTGAGAGCTGTGAAGCCAACAAAGACCATTGGAGACGATGAGATACGATGAGCGTTCATCCTTTATCAAGATGAACAATTAAGATCCCATCGTGTCCTAGTGACAGCAAAGACTGAAAGACCATGAAAATCCCTCAAGAAGTGAAATCCAAACACTGAAAGTCCTGCGAGTCGTCGTCGCGAGAATCCAAACGATGAAGTCGACTGGACTTTGAACTTGTAAGCACAGCTTGTAGAGCTCCACCACTGGACTTGATGGACGAAGCTGTGACGGCAATCAGGGTCGCAACGCCACATCCAAACTGAACGGTGAGAGTAAACAGGCAAAGCATGGCAATGCAACATAAAGCAGCTATTATGGCACCAGTTGTAAGTCAACAAAAATGATGAGACACATTGCCTGCCAAAAAGTTTGTTTCAGGCTTCAAGCTTCGGCTCAGGTTCCAACCTTCTGCAAGGCATACCTACGCCTGCTCTTGTCCTGAATGCGCTGGATGAATTCAATCGCCAGCAAATTTCTCGCTGGCTTGATGCAACTGCCAGCCACGTAGCCCCTGCTAAAAGACAGAAGGACAGCAAACGCGCCTGTGACCAAACCTGGCCGCCGCAAAACCTGCGGAACCTTCAGCTCCAAGAACAGACGCTACTGGCAAGATTTCCATGTTTTCTGAAGTTCAACGAAGCTTTTAAAACCACTGGAAAGACTTCAACCTGCAAAAGCAGCGTCGACCTGACGACGGCTCAAAGCCGCCGCGCAAGAAAAATTTCTCACGCCTTCTCACGAATTCTCTGGTCTGCCAGCATGCGCCGTGTCAAGCTGCGCTCCTCCTTACATCACCGGAGTCCAGAGTCCTGACTATGGTCTGACGAGGTGACCCGAGTCTATAGGAATTGCCTTTACTTCGGTGGTCGCAAGAATCTTCTTTGCACCTCTACATGCCTCTAGTACGGGTCGCTTTGCTGCTTCTCGGTGACCGGCTTTCCGTGAGCTTTCGGAAAATGTCCTCCGACTCGTTGACGCTTGGCGCTTGACGCGTAAGCAATTCTACATCACGACCAACGTGGCGATTCTCTTCACGTGGCTCGGCCGACGCAGCGTGCCGCTGGTGAAACAAATCATACAAGCACCCATGGCCCATACTGTAGGTCAGAAGTTCTTTGAAGCCAAGTCGTTTGCTCATCGCCTTCACCTGAGCTCGCCTGTCGGTGCCCAGACATCTGGACCGACCTGTTAGCCTTGCAAACACACCTCTCTTGGCCTGCGGCGCTCCGTACGCAGGCTCGTGACCTCCGTGAAGACCAGGACCCGAGCACCGTACCCGAAGGATTGAGCAAAACAACACGTCTCGTCTGAACTTCCGACAGGACGTCTGGCATCTGGCAAGACAACTATGTTGTATGTTTCTCAATCCGGCTGTCAAGCTAGGATAAGCTGGGAGCATTGAGGCATTGGGAGCTGAGGACGTCGCAACTTGATATAATGCAAAGCAACTGTACAGCTGATGAAGACAACTCAATGTTTTATGGCCAAGTCTTCTTGCTAGAATTCAGCTGTGCTTCCAGCAATGATTTTTCAGGAACATCGAAAACCCCGTGATCTTTTCCAGTGCAAGAACCTCTCGGAACCGCCTAAAAACCATCAACTGTATTGTATTATATTGTCTCGTCACATAGTCGTTCTCAGTTCTCAGTTCTCCAGGTCCGGTCCAAACATCTCAACATACACCAGCCTGATTCGATCGATTCCAACTTCCATCTGATTCTATCAATGCTGCGGCTTCAGGCTCACAGAAAGGCTGCTCTCTGTCCTCCCCGAGGGCCCGGGAGATGTTGGGCGAGACGGTGGAGCAGGAGACGTGGATCGCGCCTGGCTGCCGTGCCGGGTGTCCAAGGGTATGATGCACGGCCAGAAGTGGAGATGCGATGGGATGAGAGAGACCAAAAATCATATCATCAAACAAAGTCCACTGGCAGCAGCGTGGGTTGTCAGTCTAGTCTACTCTGCAAGTTTGAGAAGTGGAGCTTGTGCAAACTGGTGGGGTGAATCCTAGCACTTCTGTTAACGGGGAAAGTCCCAATAGCTCCTCAGATTTTGACAATAATCAAACAAAATCAAACAAATAGGAACCCCGTGTTTTGTACATACCAACGGGCAGGATTTGATCTTCAACAGAGATGTTGGTTGAACCCCTTGTTTCAGCCAGGCAAAATAAAACCAATGGATTGGGTCATATATGTTATACCAGTAACAGTGGATGATGATGGTTCGGTTGCAGGCCATGTTCAAAAACAGTGATGTTCTTGATTACTGACTGTTACAGGTTATATAAGTTCGGACAATGACAACTAATGGAACATGTAACCCATTTCAAAAACACATACAGCATTAATCATGGAATCCTTTCCAAGAACAACAATGAAACATCAATGAATCCATAGAACATATATCTAAAATCATCTAAAAAGGGGACAGCCGCCCACCCATCACCGCGCCATCACCACGCTCGGCGAGCGCAGGCAACAGCTCGTCAGTGGCTTTCCGGAGGATCTGGTCGTCGGGCAGCGCAGAGAAGACGATGGCGCTGCGCTGCGCCACCTGTGGTCCCAAAGAATTGAAGCAATTGGACTCACTATCTGAATAGGGGTCAATTGGATGGTTGGCAGTTGGATGGTTGGGTAATGTTGGGGTGGGTGGGTTGGTGGGCTGGAGCATTTGGATGGTTGGCAGTTGGATGGTTGGGCTTGATTCCCACTGCGTGATGTTGGTGGGTCAGCTGAAGAATCGGACTTGGACATATGACATGGGTTAAATCGGAAGAAACAGCTGCAACAAACCCATTGGGGCCTCACATGCAAGTGAAAGGTAGGCGTAGACGTCCAACCGGTACTCGTTAGTTTGGCGCCCCTGTGAAGGGGAGAAAAAGATAAACCAAACACACAAAAATAATTTGACGATATGGTTCATCATCTTGCGAGTTGAAGCAATTCTTGCAGTTGTGGAAACAGCAGCACCTCCGCCGTGCTGGTCGCCGCGCTGGCGCCCAGTGCAACTGCGCTTGAAAGCGCCGAGGCGTTCGGGTCGAAGACCACCAAGTTCTCGCCCGCCTTGGAGAAGCGAGCGTGCTAAGGGTTTTGGCTGGGATATCGACCCGAGCAAATAATTGAGTGATCTGCACCAGGATGTATTTGTTCGTTTCTACTAAGCATCTTTATGCCACTCTAAAGCATGCATGGCCTACTACATACGGCTATGATATCTATATAAGTACGACATAGTACGACACTCATCAAATACAAACTCTGCCATGCATATGCATGGACATTCAGGTTCGAAGGCCATCCTGAGCCGACATTCAACATCTCCTTGATGGATGTCATGTGTCTGAAACAAGCACAAAAAAACGTAATTGTGGAGATTCACTTCCCTTGGCTATCCGCTGCACCTGTTGACGGACTAATCCTGCACCTTCTGGGATACACCAACCCCAACCCTTCAAGCGGGGCGATCCCGCAGCAATGCCAAATAACAGGTTCTTTCTCCCTGAAAGCTTCCCGCGGTAAAAAGAACTGAACGGCGTCCTGCAGTCCTAAATGCAAAACAATGGCAAGGATGTCCTCTACACACAGGGAGATTGATGGTTTCTTGGAAGGGATGAATCAAACAGCAGTTGTTCTCCCAAAAACAAAGGCAAACAACACATGTTGTTCTTAATGCATTGTGTGCTGTTTACCCTTCAATACTGTACCTGTCCAATGAAAAAGACTGCAGTTTGTTCCCCCAAGGAGAGTGCATCCCGTGTTTTTCATTTTTTCGGTCCGTTGGATCGATCAAAACGCCGTGCGCCTGGGCGAGGTTGGTCACCATGCCGCTGCCGATCTTCCCCAAACCCACGAAGCCCAACGGGCTTGACGAGGCACATCGACCTGGGTCGGCGATGGAAGGTCAATGGGGCGGTCGGCGATGGGGTGTGGTGCTCGAAGGTAAATGGGCGAAGGTCGATGGTAGGTCGTAACAATATGTCTAGGAGATCTTCATTTGTATTATTTTCCATTGCATATATATATATATTACTATATATTATATATACAGTATATTATACATATATATGTATTCAAGTTGGTAGCAATAGTAGGCCCGAGATGTTCAACAAGCTGATGTGTTCTTGGTATTTTTGTTTGTCCTTTTCTGCTAGTTGTTGTTGGTTAGTTATACAGACAAACAATTGCATGCACTGCATGATGCAATTTCTCCAACAGCTAGCAGCACCAGAACCAGCATCACCATCAGCATGTTGATCACAGTCGTCCAAAATAGCTGAAACACACGCAACCAACCAGAATTATCCGCCACGAGAGGGATAACAAAAGCGACAAATCAACCGCTCCTTGCACTTGGAGCACAGTGTTTCTTCCTTGCAAACATCCTTAATTTCCCTTACAAATTGTTGCAATTGAAGCCGTTCAATGAGATTCTGGGCATTGCTGCATTGACTGTAACAGTATGATTCCAGTTGGTCACCAACTTTGCACCACATCTTTGCATACCTAAACTATTGTGACCCATGGTGCGATGGAATGATGGAACAATACTATATACTGATCAAATAAATGTGCATGTCTCGGGCCTACAAGGTTGGCACACTCTACAAAGAAAAGTACGTAGCTGGAAATGTTTTGCATCCACCTGCAAAACCTTCCGATGTCTAGCCAGCTCCAACATCCACAAATGTACTAAATGAACACCGTGTTGTTTCTTTTTCGAGGGGTTGATGCACGAGATAGCAGGTAGATAGAAATCATGTAGGATGTTCTGGAAGAAAATGGTCTGGTATACCGAACCTGGTTCTACTTGTGAATGGCAATCAAAGAATATTCCCCTGAGCTCAAACAGGTCCAACCAGGCCACTGAGTCGTCTCCGCATGCTCCAGCCATTTCCCCGCAGCATCGATGGAAACATGTCGATGTGAAGAGTGTGAGAAGGACACAAGTCACTTTGTTCAGGTTCGACATGAATTGAATTGCTGCAGGTTCACGTAGCTTCCACCCGTTTTGAAGCAGCATGCAGTGTCTGAAGAGTTCCTCTGTCGTTGGACAGGCTGTCGTATATGAGTATATGACCATCTTTAAATGAGGTGCCGCTACAATCCAAACCCAGTGCGTCAAGTTGATGCTCAAAGCAGTGCACAGCCCTGTGAGATGAGAGCCAAGAGAGATGTCCGAGATGCAAGGCGTTCTGGCATTCTTACACCTCTACAAACGTGTATCCCTCCAATCTGACCAATGGTTTTTGTGGTTGCAAAAAACCTCATTAGATGGCCCTATGGCCCTATGGCCCTAGCAATCCGCATCTTGAAGGGAGGGAAACCAGTCACCCACGGCTTGGTTGACCAGGCCCAGTTGACCTGTTCAGGCCCGGTGCCCTGGCTTCATCAGGCCCAGCTGATTGGGTGGCATCAGCTTCGGTTTCCGCCCGTCTGGGGAACAAAAAAGTGGAAAAAACAGGGAAAAGCATTCACTTTGGGCCGGGGTGAAGACGGGTGGAACAGGTGAGGCGTTCGGCGTCGTTGGGACGACCTAAACCCGCTATAGAAGCATTAAAGTGCCGCCATAGTGTGGATCGGTTCATGCTTTGGTCGATGGGATGGACACTGGCCGCATTGAGATTTCATGGGTTTAAGTTTTTGGCCCCCACGCAACGTGGAAATGCAGGATCAAAGCATCGATGCACTTGAATACACAAGCGAAACATCGTTGAAATGGTGTCCTGCAAGAGGAGAACACCTTCTTGGGAAATGACAACAAATCCAACATAATCCTGCATCTACCTACGTCCGCAAAAATACAGACTATTCATGAAACACTAAACAACCTCTACGAAAAGTGCAACATCGATTGCAATTCGTCCTTCACCCCTTTTCAAGATTCTAAACGTACAAAAGCCATGAATCCTTTGTACTCCCATCTCCACGGTCTGACCACGTCTGACCCCTATGGACTTTTCGAAACATCCTTCACGCCGCTCCGGTGGGGTCTCCATGGCATTGAAGCTGGGTATCAGTCTCTGATGCATGATCAAATATGAACATGTGAAGCCCATGCATCCCAAATGACATTGTGAAGATATGTGAAGATCACCCGGCCCGGCCCCTTCAGCTACCAGGTGTCCCGCTCGGACTCTGGATGAGGGCAAAACAGGGCGCCGTTTCCCACCCTTTAATTTAAAGCGCTCAGTGAAGTGGCGAAGATTCCTCTAGCGATACCCAAAGACCACCCTATAGCCTCCAGGTGACTACACTCCAATTCAAAGATGGAAGTGGAAACTGACCACTGCCACTCAAAAGACACTTTCCGTCGGATGGTACCTCCCACTAGGCATAGCGGCCAGGGAATGAGTGCAAGATAGTGCAAGCATGTAGTCTGAAACCAGAAAAACACCTTGATTGAAGTGCATGTAGTCTGAACCATATATTATGCATATAATGTATATAATATATGCTCTCAGATTGAGACTGTTGAAAGTGCATGACTGCACTGGGAGATGTAGCAAGTCTTTCTCGGCGTGGGCACTTTTTGACTTAGTCTTGTGGAGTGTGGACACCACGCAAACAACAAATGACAGTTAAGCTGTGCCGTTTGGAGATCAACATATGAATTTACCCTGCAACACATATCCTGTCAAAGTGTTCTTCGCAGCATAGAACCCACTTGTATAAAACATGCTGACAGGATCGACCTGTTGTTTGCCCCTGCAGGGGGCGCACCGACCAAAAGGTCAGGCGCACCACAAACTAACATAATCCTTTTGGTGCGACATTTGGGTGACATGGAAACACATACGTCATTGCAGTGGTCATATGTGGTCATTACCCGAGTCATCAGCTTGGACCAGTCTGGACACTGCAAGTCAGCAGTCCCTACATTGTCGAAAGCGGTGTAAGCCCATGGAAGAACTGAACATTGGTGTCAAGTGTCTAGAAAAAAGCTCGTCATTGGGTAAGCTCTTTTTGCTCCCCTCCAGCTGAACTGGTGATCAATTGGAATCCTCCTCGTCGGCGGTTTCACTGGGACTCGTCAAGTCGATGCCCCTCCCTGAACGCGATCCAAAATGGGGCAGGAACTGGCGCCAGGCCAGATTTGGGGGACATTATCTGTGAGACGCACCGGCCATTTCTGTGAGCTACTGAGCTCACAGAATGCGACGATCAACGATGGTGAAGAAGTGTATCCATGTGTATCCAGGTTTTCTCAGTCATGCGACACGTGAGTCTGGAAATGAAAACTGCATCAAACAAGCACCATAAACAAAGACATATGTTCTTGCTCACCGACACATGCATTTGGGTAGGTCTCTTTCCGCTTAAGGGTTTAGGGCCCCACACGTTTCTGAAGCCCATACACAGTGTCCACACATGCCCACTGGTCTCTTTCACAGCCCATCAATGCATGAAAAAGCGACACCATCGGCACTGTCGAACCCATTGATTGGCCCGGTGAATTTCCACGAACCCATCGGGCTTCTTCGGTGCATCAGCAGGGTCCAAGAAATAACTCAGTCGCCGGTGACTGGAGGAGGTTTGAGCCGATAACAAGTTGGCCACGTCCAGTTTGGGACCTCGCTGCAAAGGTAGGACATTCACGCCAGGCAGGTGTTTGTTGATGTCCAGGCTAGCTATGATCTGCTCACAAACTGTGTCCCAAAACCTCAGTGTTTGAGCCATAGCCCAAGCCCTCAGAACAACAGTTCCCGTTGGGTGAAACTTCTCCGGGGGTTCACAGCCGGAAGAAGTTGGGTTGATGCCGATTTTTCACATCAACCCCTGCATACGAAGAGGCTTTACAATCGCCACTGGGCCCCATGTTTTAGAGGTTTTACACTCCAAATGATCTGGGGAGTTATGAATCAAAGATACTCTAAGAGTGTCAGAGTCTACATTGTGGACTACGTCTCAGGAGTCATTGGTTGGAATCTCAGGAGTGGTCCCTACCGTTGACCGCGTGTGTTCCGCGAAAAGCAAAGGATACCAGCGCTGAGGATGTCTAACTCTGGAACCCCAAGGAAGTGCTTCATGGCTGGTCTGCATTGGTCCCCAAAAAACACGGTAAGGGAATACAGTAGAGTAGAGATGAATAGAGTCTCCTATATAGTTGCAGCCCTACCAGTAGGGCAGGCAACTAGTTGCTATGTTTCCTGATGTCCCTAGCTAGCGGCAACCGACATTCAACGGGGGACGGATACCCCACTATCCAACAACACAGAGTGACCAGTTCAACCTGAATGACACAGCCAGGTACCTTGGAGCGCCCAGGTACCTTGCAAATGAGGCCCTGTTCATGAAACAAATCAAATCCATCTATATCAAGTCCCACGACGGCTAGCTTTGGCCAACCGCCGGTTGGCATTTGAGCCGTTCTTTTGCTGTTCTTCTTGTTGTTGCTGCTGTTGTTGATCATAACTATTGTTGTTGCTTGTTTGTGTGAACAAACCCCAACCCGAAGGGAGATAACACAGTGCGCCAACCCTCCGCTTGGCCCATGTCGATGCCTAAGAAAAAGCCCGCGACCGTGTCAGGCGACGCTGGGATTCCGTTCCCGACACCCAGCGCCTGACGAGAGTGACGCTCTCTGATGCTCGATCGAGAGCAGTGCTGTCGCGTCGCCAAAGGCGAAGAAAATATGTCGCTCGATCATCAAACGCCATCCAGGCTTGGTTTGTTCACATGTTGAGGGATGCGGTAACCTTCCGGATTGGACGATCCTTGAATCCTGGGGACCATACCCACACATTTCACGAGGATGATAGAAACTTGGACAGCTCACTGAGATTATTAGTTCGGCATATAGCCATGCACTATTGACCTGTGGTTGGCGGCGTCTGGAAATGTTTGCGACTGGCAAACATTAACAATTGTTTGAGTTGATGTCGATTGTTCAGCACAATTAACAATGTCACTCCCCCTCATAGAGATCATCAAAAATTGTATAGAAATATTAAGTGTATCCCACTGTAACATATTGTGGGTTTTCTATTAGATCAATGATACATGTAATCCACACCGATATATTGTGAGCATATTTGGAAACCAGCCTTCCGGTGTACTCGTTCCATTTGTTTAATGCCTGACCCCAAAAGCAACCAGGTAAACTTTGGCGTTCAACTGCAACTGCTTGCTTACTCCTGTTCTTTGTCTTTGCAGACTTGGTTCATCTTTGTTCCCATATGCATTTCCCTATACAAAGTAGCGTGCTCCAACGTCGATTGATTGCACTTTGGGAAACAGGACTTCTAAGACTTGGCAAAGATCTTCCTGTTTGAGCTAAAGTTCACCTGGAAGGCTATGACAAAAGGCGCATGCTGATGAAAACGAACAGCCTGTCACAAAAATATCAGCCAATTCCCCAGATCCGGGTGCAAACAGCAGCCGGACATCTGGACAGGCATTGCCAAACAATCACCTGGCAGGCGTCTGACTCGCAAAAAGGCTTTTGAAAGGCCTCAGCTGGTCTCGTGGGTTCCTTGTTGGCATTTAGGATGTTCAATGTTCATACTGTGGTGTGAGTGGTCGTGCCTTTTTGTAAATAGAAGCGGCGCCGATGTGGGGCGAGTTCTTGGTCTGCTTCCAAGCAGGGTTGATCTGTTCCATTGCATCTCACCACAGTATACCACAGTTGCGGCCTTCCGGCCTTCTGTACCTATAGAATGTGAATTTTAAACAAGGAAATGCGGATTTAACGTTCAAACGGTTTGCCAAACAGCCATGCGGGGATGAGTGGATACAGCTACACCTGGCTTGACCCTTTGACACATAAAAAGACAAAATACAAAAACCATGCAAAAACAGAAGAACAAGCATGTTAACAAACAACACAAAAAAACATATATTATAAGAACCATTGAACTACTCAAGATCTGGACTGACCGATAAAAGCCTCGAGAAGGACCAAGGACATCCAAGGACATCACACACGGACAAAAATGCCATCTGATCAGTCATCCCAAGCACCAGATAGCCATAGCTCCTCTTTCTCTCGCAAAAGAACCGGAGAACACGGAATGTTGAACCGTTTCCTCTCGTTTCACTAGCCGATGATAGACATGGATTTGCTGGAAACAAATCTTTACAGATATCATTATCATGGCAATACGAACCAATCAACGAAAACCATAAAATGACACGCAACACGTCAAAATAATCCAACCTTCGCAAAACCGACAATTAGTGAGTCGTTCTTTAAAGCATGCATTTTAAAGCACAAACCGTCTCAGAACGACCAATTTTCAAAAGAACTTCTGCAAATCTCAGATGGAACTGTTCTTTTCTTGGCAGGGTGATTCCCAAAGATTCCCATGGAAGAAGGGGAACAAAAAAACCTGCCTTCCCAGCTGGTGGGCCAAGGAGTCTCCCTCTCTTTTGTTCTTTCCTCGGCGTTAACAACATGGTTTCGGCAATTCCAAGCCGTCCAGGCCTCTGACCGCGCTGGTGGCGACCAACATGTCCCGCTTCACCAACCCTCAGGTGGAGACCTGCACTCAGGTGGCACCGGAACGCAACATTGTAACATGTGGGGTGCAAATGCCCATGGAACTCCGCAGAAGCAACCACCCATGCTGCACCAAATGGCACCAAACAGCCTGGATCGCGTGGAGCCGCAAATCACCTGGAGTCGTATACCTCTTTTCGAACGGGTGGTCCGAACGGAAGATGTCCGGAACGGGCGACCACTGCCGTGCCTCCGTGGGCTTTCTCGTCGAGACACCTGAAGTGGCGCAATGCCAAGGGTGCCGACACTATGATGGCTTAACAAGAAGCTACTAGGAACAAGTGCATCGCTACTAGTAACAAGTGCCTTACTAGTAATAACAAGAAGCTAGTAGGAACAAGTACATCGCTACTAGCAACAAGTGCCTTACTAGTAGTAACAAGAAGCTAGTAGAAACAAGAAGCTAGTAGAAACAAGTGCCACGCTAGTAGTAACAGGTGCCTTGCTAGTAGTAACAAGAAGCTAGTAGAGACAATAAATAGAATCTAGAAATGATGGATATGGGGGTGTGTTGGCCAAAGCGCGATGCTCCCATGCTCCCACCCAGAGGGTGGAGGTACCAACAAAAAAGGGACAATGCTACGCGAAACGTGAGCATGGCCCAAGGGTGTGATCAAGCAACCACTTGTATCAACTCTAAAGACCTGGCCGCTCGGCAATGGATTGTTCTTGAGATTCTGTCTGTCACTGTGGCACCTTATGAACACATTACCACAGCAATTGAGTCCTTTGCACCGTCAGATGTATGGTTCCTCAGCCAAAAAAAGAACGAAAAAGCATGATTACATAAAAGCAAACTTGAGCCGAGCCCATGGTTTGTGTACACTTGTCCATTGAGTGTCATTGTGTGGCTGAACCGTCTGACACCTTTTCCCAAGCCTGTGAAAGCCTGAAACCGCTCCTGGTCCGCTCGCTTTGGCCACGCAGAAGCCAACGCTTTTTGGAGGGAAAACGGACAACGCTATAGTTTCAACTGGCTGACTAAGGTGGTCTGGTGATGGCCCTTTGGCTACATGCTGATATTTGCTCCATGGTTCTCTTCTCAGTGTTGACAGCCTGTAAACATCTCACTCTTCATATTGAATCATATTTTTACAAATTGATATTTTACACTTCTCACCCGATACCTCTGTGTATCAAGGGGTGGAGCGCTGAGATCTCTGTTGCTCAATCACCAACCAAGGGGTTTTGGTCCAAATTTGGTATCATCTTTAAAGTTGGGCATCGGGTCTTCCTAGTCATAGTCTAGGATACACCCATGTAGTTTCCGGTGAACCTGCTCTGTACACTTTGGACTGCTACCAGGCAAAACTGGTGCTACACAGGCAATATTGTGGGCAATTGTTTATGCAATGTCAATCAGTTACGTTTAAGAAAACCACTTAGGCTATCTCTGATGGCTTTTCCAAATAAAAAAGCACACACAAAACACAACAACTACTACAAACAGCAAGGGCTAAAAACAGCAAATCTATCAATGCAAAAAAAAAGCAAATGACAAAGCAACAGCAAAAAACATCAAATCCCAAAAGCACAAAACACATAAATAAAAAAGAAAAATACACGCGAACAAAACATCAAATGAAAAAAACAACAAACACGAAAAACACCGAAAACAAAACACATACTGTAAGTGAAAAAAACAAACAAACAAACAAACGGATATATATATATATAGGTTTAAAGAACACACATACAAACACATGCTAAACACATGCGGAAAACATGTGGGCAATCAAAAAAACAAAACAAAAAACAAGTGAACAATTACTTGTGTTTTCTGTGTTGTTTTGCATGTTGTTCATTTATTTTTTGAATTGTTATTTTTGCTTTTGCATGGTCGCTTGCCTTTGTTTATTTGTTGTTGTGTTTTTCGTTTCTTTTTTTGTTTGCTGTGTTTGTTCCTTGTCGTTTATTTTTCTTTGCTTTTGTTTTTTGTAGTTGCTTTTTTTTGTCGTTCATGTTTTTTTTTTTTTTAATTTTCAAGACTCACAGAGTTAGCCTGGGTCCAGCAATGATAAAGTTACGTGGCATTTGTTTAAACATACAACAACAGCAGCAACAAGATTAAGGACAGGAAGAAAACACAGAAGAACAAAAGGAGGCAGCACGTGTGGCACGTGTCTCTGGATACCGGTCCCGGACGGCGTCCCGGCGTCCTCGGGCGATCTCGGTTCCCTTCGGCTCCCCGACGGGTGAGCTCAACAGTCCCTGCAGTCGATCCTGGAGCCTGGGACACGACTAGGACAGTGGTCTCTTTCGCGGTGGGTTGGGGAGAAGGACCGGAGAAACATATTATCATATGCCCCTGTTTTGGTGGGCGTTTTGAGTGTTGAACACATCCATGCACAACTCCAGATCTGATTCATTTGGGCAGTGTGAATCGCGTCCAGGAATTCGTACGAATTCCTAAGTCCTACCGTAAGTGGCCAAGGGTGGGGTCATCATTAGTGCATCAAATAGTGACCTCACCACTGGCAAAAAGGGTGACGTGCATCTCTCAGTGTGGACGATTCTGTGAAATGTCCGGGAGACTTACAAGTACTGGCCTATACAATTCAGGTTACAAAAGGAGAGAGAGAGAGAGCGCGAGAGAGGAGGATTTGAAGTCGCTTTTACCCTCCTGCATAGTTTGTAGACCGCTAGTGCAAATAGCACGCGGTGCATTGGTAAAGAGCGTAGAAAAAGGATGCAACCATGTGATTCAATCATCTTGACCGTCTGAACTTTCAATGTATCTTGTGGCCTTGGGAGGTCCCAAATCGTCCCAAACTCTCTGAGGTCGGAGTCACCAGCTTCTTTTTTCACCCCAGGCATCCCCACAAAATAGGGCCGAATAATGCCGAATATGTTGGGTTCTCAAAATGGCTGGCTATGACGTGGCATGTGGGTACCTCTCTTTTGCTCAAAAATGGAAGGAGTTGAAGGAAGAGCCAACTGGAACGAAAAAGCCAACTGTCATCCTTCTTTCTTGTTGTTTCGCTGTGGGGGAGAAATTCCCGAAAGGTGTTGGAAACATGATTGTCTACTGACTCAAAATGGGAAATGCAACTTGTGATGAAACGCAATCACCGCACGTGAAATACAATGAAACTGCGCTGTTAAAGAGTATGTGGATGGCCCTTGATGGGCAATCCCACGACTTTTAGTGGAGAATGAGTCACAATACGGAACTGAATGGGTAGTGGTGAAGCTCTAATTTTACCACTCTCAGTTGGAAAGGCACAAACCTTATGGATTTTGAGTGATTCCTACTTTGTAGCATGAACAAGGGTTGAGAGAGGCAAACACAGTCTTCTGAACGCGACTCATATGGCTGGGAGACAACTTCCTGAGCAACAGGAGATGTGAGTCCGTCTAATTAGCTCTATATATTCAATCTCGTGGGTCTCTTGATCCTTCCATGGGTATTGAAGAAAACATGTTACGGCCCAACGTACCTTTGAGGACACATGTCGATTGGCGGCACCCCATCGGCTCCACCGCGCTCTATGCTGGGGCCGTCCGCCTCTCCAAGCGCCCTTCCTTATGTGAACACGGGTCGACCGCTACGGGTCGACCGCTGGGCCCCGAGCCCGCCGGGGGGAGGTTCAACAAAGACCCTGGAGTTTTTGGTGCTTCATCCAATGGTCTGGACATTTGGGTGAGGTCTGCGGACACACCATGCATACTACCATGCATCCACTTGGCATCCAGCAGCATTTATCCTCACCTTGGACCTTCCTACCCCATCACTACTGCACATAGATGCAGTGATGCCACTTGTAGCGAATTAAATATGAATCTCTGAGAGGTCTTGGCGGCCAAATAGGGTCTGAAATCAGGGTTCTTAAGCTTCGAGTTTACCTCTTTCTTTGGCATCCTGGTTGGTGGACACCATGCTGTTGAAGTATTGAGCACTGTTCTGAATGTAATCAATAGCTTTCTGAAAAGGCCAATCCTCGTTGACGGTTGTTTCGCAAGTGTTTGGGCTGCCAGAAGTGAAACACTTGGCATGATTTGCCTAGGAAGATCTCTGCAGGTCGCCAAATTTGGCATCAAACTTCTAATGTATATATATATATATGTATATACTATATACAGTATATACGTATCTCAGAATTTTGGTGGACTCCACCGCTTGTTTACACTGAGATGAAACGTTGCAGTCCTGCGCCGAGGATTCACGCATGATCATGGATTCAAAGGCAGTCGGTCCAGTGCGCTCTCTGCTACAGCTAAGGTCCAAACACAGCAAAGGTTGTTGGATGACCCAGATCCGCTGTTCTTGGATCGAGAAGTTGTCGGAATGTGCAAACAACATGCAATTAAGTGCCCCTTAGTTCTGCAAAAGCCGTTGTATGCTGTAAGAAGGTTGGGCAGGTAACATGAGTTGCACACATCCGAGCTAGCTTTTTGCGGCGTATTTGCTTCATTGCCTGAGGCAGAAACAGGGCATATCAGCCTTGATGTCGACACGAGTGTGTGATGATTTTCATAGGGAGACCTCCAACCAATATTGCGGTGGCTGGATTATGCTGGATTGGCAAAGATGCTTCCGGTGCGTGGAGGACGGGTCTGTGCACAGTTTTTGCGCTTTTCGACTTGAGGCAGCCTCTGCCTGCGCCGCGAGAATTGCCCGCATGGTTCTTGACAGGCGGTACAGAAGCTGATGGCCCACTTTAATGAGGAAGCGACGATGGAACAAGTTTTTTGCAGAGAAGCTGCGATGAATGATGCATGAATTTGTAAGTAATACAACTTAGTCACAGGGGTATCGCCCTTGGCTGTAAAAGTAAAATATTGTAAAAGAAGCTGATCGAATCAATCTATTTTCCTATACACCCACAGCGAAGCAGCAGTGAAACATGGATCATCATTGATCATAAGAGTCCTTGATTCTGCATTTCGTCCCGGTGCTCAGCTTCTCATTGGGGCTCTGGAGGCGGCCTCCTCTTTCTTTTACTACAAGTCTCCAACATGCTGCCAGCAGTGCGATCATGTTTGTGGCGGCTGGCCCAGTGGGCCCAAGCTGCACCACTGGATGCAGCCTGGGAGCAAGGCCGCCAGGCTCGTCGCCTCTGGAACACGCGGACCTACTGCTGTTCCTTTCCCTTCTTCGCGCAAGCGACGGTCGGAGACCGCTCAAACACCCGCGAAAGACGCTGGCGACGGTCGCATGCCAATTGGCCACTTGGAGTTGTTGCCGTTGTTCACTTTTTGACCAGTAACCCCAAACTGACGCAAAGATTACAGCACCCACTCGCAGAGTAGGAAGCACAAATGGCTTCTTGTCCTTTACGCAAGTCCTTGCAAGGGTCCCTTCATTCTCCCTGTGTTCATCCAGCATTCAGGACACTAGGAGCAAGAAGCTACTAGGAGCAAAGGGCATCGCTACTAGGAG